GCCTCTATGGTGCTAAGTTTACCATTAGAACAGACCATGCTGCATTATGCTGGTTAAGATCATTAGCGAACCCAGAGGGACAACCAGCACGTTGGTTTGGAAAAATAGACCAGTATAATTATAATATTGAATATAGAGAAGGAAAATCCCTTGATAATGCTGATGGACTGAGCCGAAGACCCTGAGAAAATGACTGCAGACATTGCTGCAAAAGAGAGGTTGAACTAACCAGGTGTCATCAAGCTGAAGTCAAAGTGACTGAAGGAGTTGATGATGGTGAAATGGAACCAAATATAGATATCACAGCAGAACAGGAGAAAGACCAAGATTTGAAGCCAATGATTGATTTCCTAAAAGCAAGTGTGTTGCGTCAATCCCATGATACTGTAACAGGAGGACATCTCGGAGTTAAGAAAACATTGAGTCACCTACGACACAGATTTTACTGGATAGGTATGAGACAAGATGTGGAAGAATGGTGCAGAACATGAAGTACATGTTGTGCTAAAAGGGGACCCAAGCATAAGGGAAGTGCTCCAATGAAGTTATATCAAGTTGGTGCACCAATGGAAAGAGTAGCCGTCGACATTGCTGGACCTCTGGTTTCCAGCACGAGTTTGGGGGCCTCAGGCCACTTGGTGAAATAATCCATCACCACACAAATGTACTTGATTTGGTATTGCATATAGGAAGCTACAACTGTAGCTTCGGCTATTAATGATTTCTTCTTCAGATTTGGTATGCCATACGAACTGCATTCAGATCAAGGCCGTAACTTTGAATCAACTGTGTTCCAAGAATTCTGCAAGTTGTTTGGCATCCGAAAGACCAGGACAACGCCACTTCACCCACAGTCTGATGGGATGGTAGAAAAGTACAACTGGTCACTGGGACAGGAATTGGCAAAGTTTTGTAATAGCCGCCAAGATGACTAGGATGTCTTACTCCCTCCATTGTTGATGGCCTATAGGACAGCAGAGCATGAAACCACTGATTAAACTCCAGCAAAGTTGATGTTTGGTCGGGAACTTCGGTTGCCAGTGGATCTGTTAACAGGACGCCCACCTTATGAAGAGTTGCCTGAGAATGTGGCAGAGTTTGTGAAAGTGTTATCGAAAAGGATGGACGATATTCACCATAAAGTGAGTTCAAACTTGAAAACGTCTGCTGATTCGATGAAGTTAACTTATGATAAGAGATCTACTGAAATCAGCTTTGTACCAGTAGACAATGTATGGTTGTATAATCCCAGGAAGACCAAAGTGAAGTCTCCTGAGTTGTCTTCTCCATGGGAAGACCCATATGACATAGTGGCACGTCTCTCAGACGTGACTTTCTGGGTAAAATTTGGTTGGCAAGATAAGCCAAAAGTGGTGCATGCCAACAGGCTTTGGCGTTATCACGGTCCAGGACATTTCAGTTGGGACTAAGTGGACAAAGGAACAAATGACGCTGCTGAAGACGTGCCACCTGAAGAAGCCACCGTCGAAGAAGAAACTCTACTCAGTTTTGAGAAGGG